ATGCAGAAATGGGGGGATGTTGCGGGATTTTATTTGGATGGCTTGGCTGCATCCGGCTGATGCAGGGAGTGCACGGGGATGCAGGGGATGCTGTTGAGGAAGCTTGTGGAGCAACAAAACACGTCACCGTTTTTTGTACGGGCTCGAAGCCACACAGCGCAGCTGGACATCCTGAAATGTGCTCCCATCAATTGTCGAAAGGATTTCCCACTTCGTTTGCATATCAGCTACCTGGTGGCCCTTTCACTCATCACAGAAAACGCCATGGTCAGCCTCGGTCTGCAAAAAGAACACTGTGTTTTTTGCCAATGGTCACTTGTGCCCAGTTGCTGACATGGACGAGCTCAGCGTCATCTCGCAACACAGCTCGCTGATCAGCATGAGAAGGCCGGGCGTGACTCCTTGGGCAAAACGCTTGGCTGTCAGCGCGGGTGCTTTTTGACAGGAGTGCTTTTTCTGGGGCGCCCTTCCTGGACAACCAAGTGGTAACCATGTCGTTAGAAAAAACACTTGTCGCAGATCCATCAAGATTGAGATTGAGTCAGCTACAACGGGGGCAGAGGCGGCCTCATGGCTTTGCAAGCTGAAGCAGACCCTCATGCAGGGCAAGCAGGATGCAGCCAAAGAGATCTCAAAAGAGATGGCGAAGGAGCACGAGCAAGACTTGCCCAAAGAGCCCATGCCGAAGAAGCCTTCCTCGAAGCGGCGCGAGCCGTCGTCAGAGGCTGGGCATTGCGTTTTGTGTGGAATTCCTCCACAATTGCAAGTCCCTCGTGAACTAAAATTGGAGTTCGCAATGAAAAGAACTAAACCCAACAAAAAGATCCTTATGTTTGGCTCCTTACGTTTGAATTTAGCCTCCCGGAGAGAAAGCCTGACCTGTGCCTGCAGTCTTCCCCGCCCTGCCTCGACGTGCGCTTCCGGGCCAAGGCGCCGAAGAAGGAGAGCGCCATAGATGCTTCCTCGTCACGGGGCGTTGGCGTCAATGACACAGTTCCAATGACTGCCGAGCTGGAGGAGTTCTTCTGCGACGAGCTTGCCAGGTACTTTGCCAACGGGAATGACAGGGCGCTGTTCCTGAAGATTGCAGTTGCGGAGGGGATGGACCCTTGCCCAGAGAGTGTACGTATTTGCTTTCGTCTGACATGTCAACGCTGCCCCGCGGCTAAGAGCTCATCCCCCTGACCTGGTCGCGATAGGAGAAATGCGAAACGTCAACACACAAGAGAAAGGGACGTGTGCAATGGAAACACTCTTTTTTGTCAGGCCGCTCAAGGCACAGAGAACACGTCTTGAGAAGTGCCGGGAATCACGTGCTATATGCAGTATCAAGACAACGTTTCGCTTTGCGATTGCAGAGCTGTAGGAAATGAACTCTTCAAAGCCAAACGCCCGCCGCAATAGGGCATTGATTAGTATAAGGCATTTTCAGGAGCATTACCCCAGAGCATCCCAAGACAGGTCAAGTGACTTCAAAGGCTGTGTTTGGGGACTCCGAGTTGCAGGGCTTAGGGCCTGATTGTTATAAAGATTTGTTTCTTGTTTTAACTGTCCCGCACCCCTTGCTAAAAAAGGCCTTTGAAGCCGCTTGACCTGCCAAGAGAAGTCTGCTGCTCACAGGGCGATGTATCGTCCCCCTGAAAAGCGGTGTGTGTAGGAAATTTCAGGGATCTCGAACCGTGAGTACTGCCACTGTTCACCCCTTCTGCCTGACAGAATGTTTATGGGGAAGCTAACAATGTCTTTTCCCTTTGCTTCCAAAAAAAGGGTATACACCTGGAAGGCCTGAGCCAACACATGCCAAAAAGCGTGCAAGTATGAAATAATCATTGCAAATTGACATTTCTGGCTTGGTTTTCCCTTTAACATGTTGTTCGTTGGGACCCTCCTTGTGAGAGAACGGCCTAAACCAAGGGAAATCAACCAGTCAGTGGGTGCAAATGCAAACAACCATGGGTCAAACATGTCGGAACCAAGCCTTAGTATTTTTGTCATCTTTGAAGCATAGTACAATGGTGGCAACCCTTTTGCTCCGGGTGCAAGTTCACATGGCAAGCCACAGTAACATGGTTTGTAGCCTGGGCTGGCCAAACCTTTGCTCCTCCCTGCCTATGAGGACACCGTGGAAGCCGTCCTCTTGAATATTGAGGACGGGTGGCGGTGCACCAGCACGACCTGCGGCGCGCATGCCAAGGAAATGCTCCAGTGCATGACGTGGAGTGGGAGACGTGCAGCCTGCAAACTTGTGGGCTGGTTGGCGAGCAAGATGGACACCAGTGTTTCAAAAAAATGAACAATGTTTCAAATGGGCCTGGGTCTGAAGCCAATGTTATTCAAACCAAATGGGTCATAGCTAACAATGCAAGCACTCATGTGTCTGCCTATATTCGAAATCATTTGCGTGGCAGGAGATGTACAAAAAGAAAGCCGGCCTGAACGATGGCCGTGGGGGCTCTGACTCAGAGACGTTGGAGCTTGGCCAGTTCCCGAAGTTGAAGCACAACAAGGAGAGTAAAAACACGTCCGACAACGCCATGCCAAAGACCCCGCCCTCCGAGAAGGACTTCCCGAATGGCGCTGCTGAGACCAAGCGCAACACTGACATCAACACCGAGAACCCGGATATGAACAAAGAGGTCACTGTGGAGGGCGTCCCCGGCAACACGACACCTGGTCAGCTGAGCCAAAACGACAGCCCCGACCCTGCAGCTTCACCTCGTGACGGGCATGATGGGGACGAGCAACTCAGCGACGGAGGCCTGCCAAAGGTAGCTTTGTCGGGTTCCGAGTCAGACTGACTCAGTCATCCAGGGGCACTTGCTAAGCCACAACAGGAACTCCCTGTGTTCTCGTTTTATGGCTGTTGGTTGTGAACACCAAACCCAATGTGTTGTGTATTTCTTTTCTCTACCCAAGTTGGCAGGTAATGAGTCCGGTGATCTGAAGATGTCCCCTGAGTGGCTGTGCAAGGTTTTGAACCCTGTCCAGAACTAGGAAGCATTTGTGCGGAATATACCCGATGAGGCTGCGCCAGGACAAACAACTGGTGTGCCTGAGCTGACACTTGTGAGTCAACTGCGCCCGGGATGGACCTTCATTGCAGTTGTTGTGAGTGTGCAACAAATCGAGCCACGCTTCACATGCCCATCGCAGCTTCATGTCTTTCAGACGCTCGGGAAATAGTAGACTAGACAACCCTTCCCCTGTTCTTTCCCCAAGACAAACGTTCCTTCCCAGGGCCATCCTTCTTTCCCCGCAACCATCGTTCTTTCCCAGAACCATCGTTCTTTCCCCAGAGCCATCGTTCTTTCCCCGCAACCATCGTTCTTTCCCCGCAACCATCGTTCTTTCCCCACAGCCATCGTTCTTTCCGCAGAGCCATCGTTCTTTCCCACTCCATCGTTCTGTCCCTTGGCCTCGTTCTTTCGGTCTGCGTGCCCCCGGAATTTTTTTTTCACGTTTGCATCTGTTTTGGGTGAAAATTGGAAAACCAGAAAGAATGGGGAAGTATGGAATGAGGCCATATTTTCGGCTAAAACCCATTCTTTCCAAGAATCCAATTTTCTAGGATTTCCGGTCTTTCCTCCCGAAACGGATGAGAACTGCGGTGTTGGCCGCCACGTGGGCCTCCGTTGAAAGAATGGGGGAGTGGAGTTCCCTGGAAAGTTGGACCAAAATGTTGGGGAGCGCGTCCTTGGGAGTTGTAGCTAAAAGTGCAGGTGGCAGGGGGTCCTTATCACAAATTTGAGGTTCCCCACGTCAACGGGGCCCTTCAAGCATCTGCGGTCTTGAATCTATCTGGAGGTGTCGACCACCCTGCAATTATCCTGAAAAGCTTGCCCTTTGGCCCTTTTCGGCACGTTTCTAGGGAAGGGAGCAATCCGGCAACCCCGGTGGAAGTCAAGTCTAAAGTGCCATAACCTCCACGAAGCAATAGTGTTGCAGAAACTGGTGTGCTCAAAAGATAAATAAGAGCTTGTGGCCCTTGACATGGTGTGGAACCTTCCCTATTCCTTTGTATCAACCAACAATAATTGTTTGTCGCCGCCCTCTTTGCGAGGCAAACAAAAGGCTAGATCGTAGCCCTGCCCCCCGAGCAAGGGTTGGAAGCACGTGAAGCCAACGAGTCAGCTTGCATCTGGTCCCTAAATCACTCCACGCATTTGCTTTGGTTTACAGAGTTGAACGCTTCCAAACTACTCCCCCAGGAAACCCTTCTTTGAGGGTCACAAGCAATAACAATGGAATTTGAGGCTGCGCCTTACGAGTCGGTCACATGATGTCCTGATCATCTTTGGAACAATCCTACTCATTTGGTCGGCACAGGGACTGAAATCTTCAATGCCAAACGCTCGCCATAAAGGGGGCTAGCAGCATTCTTCCTGATCATTATCAACACAGGCCAAGTGACTTCAAAGGCTAATGTTTTGGGGGTTCCGAGTTGCAGGGCTTAGGGTTGGATTGTTATGAAAGAGTGCGTTTCTTGTTTGAACGGTCCCACACCCCTTGCTAAAAAAGCCCTTTGAAGCCGCTTGACCTGCCAAGAGAACCCACTGAAAAGCGGGTGGGTGTGGGAAGGTTGTTCTCAATCTCAGGCTTCTGCCCGGCAAAATGTTTACAGGGGTATGGTTGAGTTCATCGGCTAACAATGCCAGCACGCCCTTTCCGTTTTCTTCCAGAAAAGGAGTCTGTATGAGGCATCACACGCCCAAAAAATGCACAAAGCGAAACAATCGTTGCAAATGACTTTTGAGGCTGGCGGGAAGGGAGGTCGTCCTTTTTCATTATTAGAACTGTACCTCCCCCATGTGCCCATTTGTTCTGGAACCAACCGCAGGTGGAACAACTAGTCAGTGTATGAAAATAACCATGGGTCACTTGTGGGCAAGCAAGCCGGCCTTCAACGGAGTGAACACGCAGCACTCAGATTCTTGCAATTGTCAGGAAACCTTTGCCTGGTCAAAGTGGTAGGGCGTGTCACCTAGCAGTATTCCGTGCCCATGGTCCGGCCTTTGCTTCCATTGGCTGACCTCCCGCCAGCCAAGCGCAGAAAATCTCAGCGGGTGTCCTCAGTTCAGTTTGTCGACGCCGGCGCTGGTTTGACTGACTGTGACGGGCACCGCTGCGACAGGGATGGTTCAACCGGCTCTGAAAGGCTCTATGGCCATCGCACTGCGCAAGAACCTCCTGAAATGCAGCGCCGCTTCGACTATGACCCTGTGCTGTTTCGAATCGGCCTGGCCATGGTGACTCCTGCAAGGACGTGGACCCCTACACCTTCCCCTTATGGCATCAAGTGGCAGGACATACCGGCAGAGCTGATTACTGACCGGCAACATAGTAGCGATTGCTTTTGCTTGGCGTGTCTATATGATGGCTCAGCGAGCGCAGCCTTTCAGTAAACTGTTCATCCTGAGACCCCCTTCTCAGAGATAAGACATGGAGTTCTAGGGGTAATTGACCCTTCTTTGAAGAAAACCACCAAAAACCCTGTCAGAACCCTTCAGTCGAAATCTGTCAAACCCCGTCAAAACCTGCCAAAATCCGTCATATTCCAAACAACACGGGGGGTTCATATTCCAAATTCCGTCACTGCAACAATGGTCCACTTGAGGGGCTAACTTGATGCTTTTTTGCCAAGGTAAGAAAAAGAACAGTAACCTTTGAATGCTGTCCTAGGGCTTCGCTCACCAGCTGCGTTGGCCGGTTGGACGGGTGAGATGGGGAGCGCTAAGAAGAACTCTGCGTAGGCACCAACACTTCCCCCCCCCCCACCCACCCATCCCCCCCACCCACCCACGCCGCCCGCGAACCCACACACCACGCGCCCACGCAAGCATGTGCTCGCTGCGAACCCACAGCTGCAAGGTTGCTTGCCCAACCCGCCTGACACTGAGCCTGCGCTCACCCACCCTAGCTTGAGCATGTGTGGCATGTGTGCCTGCTTGCTCGCACCGACAGCCAATCAGACAAAAAAATGCATCCCCGGCAGCCCGTCCCAGCCCCACAGAAACCTGTAGAAAAATAAAGAAACACACGGTCTTCAAGATGTTTTTTCCGCACAGCGGCGGCGGCCGCACTTGCGCAAGAACAGCCGCTCACTCGATCGCAGACTCGCCCGCCATGTCCGCCTACTGCCAAATCCTACTCTCAGGGGGGCGTTTTTTGAAGGGTTTGAGCGACCCAGGGATGTAAGGGATGCTGGAACGCCCAGATGCTGGTGATGCAGGAATGTCGGGGATGCTGGCGAAGTTTGTAAGGATGCAGAGGATGTTGGCGGGGATGCTGGCGACTGTCCGGGGTGATTTGCACGGTACTTACAGTGTTTTTGAAGGTCGGGCAGCGTGGCATCAGAAGCCCGTCGTGGGGATGTTTTGGGGTCCAAGTGTTTGGGCCGGCCTGCGTGCAGGTGATGCAGGCAATGCTGAGGAGGAGTTTGGGGTGCACCAAAACACGTCAGCGGTATACCCTATGGGTAGGATTGCCCTTGCTCTTCGAAGACACACAGCGCAGCTGGATTTGCACACCAGCTTTGTTGGCGAGCATCCACTCCGAGAAAGTCTTGAGCATTTCTGCGTGTGATTGGTTGGTTTTGCTGCTCCTGGTTTTTCATCATGTCTACTGCTTTTTGACCATGGCAACTGCTTTTCAAGTTATGAGGCCCAGACCTACTAAGACTACTACTTTTCCCAAAAGCGCTGAGAAAAAACGCGAAGGATTCTTTTCAACCCATCGTTCTTTTCAATAACCAGCCATTTCCCCAGGTTTTTTGGGGAAGCTACCCCTGCAAAAATGGGTTTCGTTAAAAATTGGGGGGTCCAGGATGTAGAGTGTAGTGTGGAATCAACGTTTTGGAACAGCATGCGCGCACGCAATTCAGAATGATACAATTCAGAATGATTCGCAAGCACTCCAATGAGCCGGGAAAATGACAGGTGTGTCCGCACTTGTGAGCTGCTGGAATGCTTGTCACAGCCTTGAGCACGCAAGGGCATGTCACCTTGTTGCCGAGTTGCCTGCTTGAGCAGCATCTCTGCGAACAAAGGTACGAGCAGCTTCTCCGCATGTGTGGTGGTTCAACAGCCACGCAGAGGTGATGCCAGTGAATCTTTGTAGGAAAATGCTAGCTGGTTCCCATGACTTGAGAGGGCTTCACAAAAACACTTCAAATGTGGATGTCGTGGCCTTCTGTTGCTGGGGGCGGGGTACCTCTCAGAAACTGATAGTGCTGCCATGTTTCAGCTGGTAGGCGTGCAGGATGGTAAGCCTGCGCAGCGTGCTTCGCAGCTGCCCGGGACGCAGGAGCGCCCCTCGCAGGCCCAGGTGCAGGACTGCCTCCAAGCCTTGGCTGGCTTGATTGAGGGGCACTTCATCTCTTAAGACTCAAATAGGGTCGTCCTTTTTGTGACCTGTGGAAGGCCAAGTTTGTCTTCAGCTTTCTCATTTGTAGTTTTTGCCCGGTGTCATTTTTTCCTGCAGGACCAATGGAAGTCGGCGCTTCAAGAAATGCTCACTCAGTTGCCAGTTGCGCTGGGCCCTGATGAGGAGGCCGCGCGCAACACAGCCCTTTTGCGCATTCGTGAATGCGTAGCCTGGCGGTGGAAGTCCCTCATGGAGGGGCTCCCGCGCATGAGCAAGCAGGTGTTCAGGGAACAGGCGGAGGAGATTCAGGAGCATCTCAACGGCCTGAAGGAGATTCATGGCCACGACATGCCCTTCGCCCCGGTCCCTTCTACCATTCTTGCGCAGCTTGAAAACGCTGCAGCCGACGACGCCTCTGGCAGCGCTGCTTCTGAGCGCGATAGCTCAAGCCGCACAAGCAGCACGCAAAGTGAAACGATGGGAGCTGCCAAGTTTAAGTTTCTGTCGAAGGACTCCACAGTGTGGACAGTCATGCAGGCTTGGAACTTGTGTATCTGAATCTGTCTGCGCGCCCCAAAAAAATGTTTCAGAAACGGTTGCCTTCTGTCATTTACCGCAGGTGGGAGAGTCTGAGCAGTGCGATGGCTACTGCCATTTCCTGGCAGCCAACGAATGGTATCAGTTGAAGACGCCTTTCAGCCAATGGTTCACGAAGAACTGGTGCACGGTGGCGTCTGAAATCGGCGCTGAATGGAAGATCGCTGGAGTCCACGCACTCAGCCTGCAAGCCCAGAGTTGACCAAAGGTGTGTTCATCCACGGTTCTTTTCTTGCATTTTCTGGCCAGCTCAGGTAGTCCGGAAGTCTGGCTACAAAGGGGCTTTCAAAGCCAAGACTGGCCCATTGGATGGGGCAACAGTGCTTGGCATATGCCAAGTGCTTGCCAGTGTGCTTCCGGCGGCGTCTATGCAGATGGCGGCTGTCAAGTCCTGCCTCAACACCTTGTCCTTCTTGGAGAGTTTCGTCAGCATATCCACAAGTCTTCCCACCAGGGGCAGCGCTGCGCTGGACGTCAGTAACAACATGATTCCCACGACCCAGCTCAAGGCTCTTCTGAAAGATGAAGGGATGGCGTGGCCAAGGCCCTCGGCCGGCAACACTTAGCAAACAATTACTTCACTTTTGCGGGTGTAACTAAGAATCAGAGTTGTTACTACCAGACCTGGAAATATCCATGGCCCCCATCAGGTTCGCCAAGAAGCTTCCGGTGCCCGAGGCTGCGGAGCTCTCTGTGGCTACCTGTTTGGTGGCTTTTTTCCGAGCGCGAGGTGATGGTCAGAGTCACGCGAATGTGGCAGTGTCCCGCCTGGTGAGACACCTTGTCCATGTCTTTTGCCAGCACGTTGAGACCCAGATTGCACGGCGCTTGCTGTCCCACTGTCCGGATCCTTCCCACGAAGCCCGGCTTCATCCGTTTCTGGGCCACGCCCGGCGGAGAGGAAGCAAGGCTCTGGAACTCTCGCTGATCCAGCGGTTCACTGCCAAAGGAGGTGGCTTTGTCAGCACAGCCGGCGAGCTTTCGCTTCAACGCCTTGGTGTTGTGAAGCAAGGCTCCTCCTTGGCCCAGCGGACGGGGAGCGAATATGTGGCACGGAGTCTCATACACACGGCTGAGTTTGTTTCAGACTATGTCTCTCGCGCGAGTCCCGTTGTTCTGAACTTTGCCATGGATGCTACACACGTGGGCGGTGAGCACGTGCCTTGTCTCATCCTGACAAGGGTATTCTCTCATAAGTTAGATGGCTTCCTAAACTTCACCAGTCATATGTACACTGCTGACGCAAACAACCCACAGCAGCGAACCTCAACTTCATATAGCTAGCCGCGCTGGTTTTGTTGCGAGGCAGACCGCACGCGCGCCGCACGCGCACACGCAACGCACGTGCGCGCCAGCAGCCCTATGCCAGTTGCCACGCAAAGCAGCCAGACCCTGATTTTTTCCGCCGTTTCGGGATGCCAGCGGCCCAACCACAAGATATCAAGATGCAGTGTGGAAGCCAGCGTCCCTTGCATCACTTGCAGACCCAAAACGCAAGCCAAAAATCGCACCCGCCAGAAGCAGGTGATGTTCATCATTTTAGTCTTCAAAGAGCCCCCCGCGACATGCTCCAGATCTACAGGTCGGCGGTAAAGGGCGCAGAGCTTTGCTCTAGAGCCTTGAAGGACCAAGGTCGTTATTCCGACACGGCCGTTCGGCCAGTTGGCTGCGGCCGGCTTCGTGCTGTGCGTTCGAGGAGAGCCGCATCCCCAGCCATCCGCAAAAAATGGATCTGTCACAAGCAGCGCAAAAAGTCGCGTGGCTTTTTCTATCACACGCCCGCAAATCCTTTTCCATATAGGTAGGATGCTTCGGCCAAAATCTGTTCGCACGCCAGGCCGCATCCACCTCAGCCCTCAGCCTCCACTACGTGGCAGGCCCGCGTATCTTCGCTCTTTAGGGCAACTGACGCAGCCGTTCAGCCCCCCGGATTTACGTTGCTGACGCTCGACCGTTGGAGGTGAGTGAAAGACATGTTGCGAACAAGAGCTGCATCCAAAGCATCACCTGGCTCACTGGCACAGGCCTGCGCACCCACAACATGCGCTTTGCAGAGACAGCGCAAAGTGCCAACTCGGGTTCTTTCTTGGTTGGCGACGTGTGGCAGCCCCATGGAGCTTCGCTCAAGAGCCTTAAGGCTCCATAAAACCAAGGCGGGTAATCCGACATAGCCGTTCGAGTTTGAGAGGCCGCCTGCTGCCGCGCGACTGCTATATTAAATGAAGGGAGATCGCACTCTGAGTGCGCATTGTTTTCATAATGTTCAGATTCCATTGCCGGCCTTTTGTGCAACCAAACTCTCGCTGGCCAGGTGCTGTCGCTGGTGCTACGTCTGGACGGGCGCCACTTCGCTGGGCCGACACAAATGCTGCCACAAGGGCCTGATGACAACCAGGCAGCTGCTGCCTTGGTGACCTTCACCCAGGGCTTGAAGAACGCAGCAACAACACCCACCGGCTCCAAGCCTGTCGCACAGACAGGGGCGTTTGATTGGAAGGAGTACCGCCAAGCCACAAAGGCTGTGCTGTCAGCCATGGCAAACAGCTTGCGGCAGTGCCTTCCAAACGGGTGGTCCCTCAACAAGTGCAAGCCGCAGAACATCCTCGCGCCCCGTGGTCTGGGCTCTGACCGGTTGCCGCTCCTTCCGGAAGAAGCGTCCATGATGATGATAGACCTGCCCGAGGGTGCCCAGGTCTTCTTCGTGTACAACTTCAAGACGCTTGAGGCCAGGCCGGACTTCTTCCTTGACTCCAAGAGCATCCACCGCCTGGTGTTTGCTGGAGATGAAGGAACTGAAGCCCTTAGCCTTCTGATAGCGCTGTTTTTCCTCACTGGCCACTGGTGACAGAATCCATCAGAGGGTACGCTGTTGTTTGTTTTGCCAACAAATAGTCAAGTTGTAGGGCCGAATCGATTTCATCCTTTTGACTGTCAGCGGCTAGAAGCCACTTGCTCCTGCAAGACTCGAGCAGTCATGCCTTGCTGCCCAGGGATTTCTCTGCTTCCTACATCTGGCAGCGCAGTCCATCTGGATTTGCTATTGGCCAGACATGCTGCACAAGATCTCCCGCAAGGTTGCCTTGGCGGTGAACAGCCACCCAGATTGCAAGGCGCTGGTCAAGCGGATGCAACGTGTCTTTCGGTACACCCGAGCTCCCTTTGCCTCGTGTCGCTTTGGCCAGCAAAATCTGTCAGCGCGCAAGCAGCTCCTCCTGGCTGTGAAACGTGGCGAGGCCATTGACCTTGTGGACATGTGGCTGCCCAACGTGGCCCGCGATGTGGGTAGCAACCCAGTCGACTTCTCGGTTCAGCAGCTGATTACGTTGCTGGAGGAATCCTGTCGTTCCTTGTCCCAACAGTGTGTCCGGAGAAGCTCTTTCATTGGTTTATTGCATGGCCAAGAATTACCAGTAGGTTTTCACATCATCGTTGCCCTAACCCTATCCTGTAGCTGAGGCAGCCCCCACCTGGTCTCCACAGAGTCGAAAGATGTCAGATGGATGTCCTTCTATGACCACGCTGTAGCGTGGAACCGGCGCTGGCACACTGAGCTTCTTGCGCACGCCTTTTCCTTCTGGCTTGAGGGCCGGGATCCATGGAGGAGTGTCACCAATGCGGCCAGTGAGGATGACACAGCCTTTAGCCACCGTGTCCATGCCTGGAACGTTGCCTGGCTGGCACTGCAGCCGCGTTGTATAAAGATATAGCTTGGGTAGCTGTAGTTGGTTTCCTGCTTTTTCCAATAGGATCGAGGTTGCTTCGCAGCTTCCATAAGTCTCTGTGCTCATCAGGTTCTGGTGGACGCCGCCAACCAAGACCAGCTTCGCAGCATGATCAAGATATTTGCACCTTTGCGTGAGTTTCTTGCCGAATACGAAGCTGGGCTGGCAAGCCTTCCATCTAGATCGCTGTATGACTCAGTACATAATGCAACACTGCGCTTGCCACCCATGCCGCCAGGATCGCGACATGCAGCGGAAGCCCAATGCTTCCGTGACGCACGCAGTGGCTCTTGCCACGGGCCAGAGGACGAAGAAGCTGATATCGCTACTTGTCTATTTGTCATGCCTGACAGGTCTGCCAAACAATTCCAACGCCCGACATGCGTCGTAGTGTAATGCAACACGCGTACTCAAAAGCATCCCTTCGATTCACAAACCTGAATAGAAAGTAAAGGTGTTGCGTTTTGTTGTCTACCTTCCCAAGTCGGACTTGAAGGATTGCACGTGCTTTTTTCCGGTTGTGAGTCAGAGGTGTGTTTTGTAGCCCTGCTTAGGCGGACTATCACAGCTGCTGTTGGCAAAGCGACCGTTGAGTACTGCGGGATCTTGCAGGCAGACCCGGACCTCTCGGACAAGCTGGCGTTCCACTCTCACTTGCTTTTGTGCACCTTGTCCTCGCTACACGAACTGGCATCGTATCACCAAGCCTGGCCGTGGCGCTGTGCTGCAGCTCTGGATCCCAGCCAACTCGACTGTCTTTTGAAGAGCATGCAACTCGAGTGGGACTTTGTGAAGAACGTCCCGGATGTGGTGTCGCCCACTCATCAGATATGGGCTGTTCTGTCCCACACCCGCTGGCAGTGCTACCGTGAACTGTTCACAACTGCTGAGAGCCTTGACAGTCAAAAGTTCCCTTTTTGAAGTCTTTCCAGACCCGCCACTAACAAGGGGTTGTGTTGGCCCTTTTAAATTGCGGACCCTTTTGAATGCCTTCTCACAACTCTTAATATCCAACTCCACTCGGAACGGCCTGCGTGACATAATCCTGCGCCACGCGCTCTAGAGATTTGTTGTAGCCTCATAGTCATGCTTTGGGTAGATCGGCTTTGCATCTAAGGTTCTTTGGATTTGACGTGTCAAAAATGAAGCTGCCTGTGGCAGCTCCGTTCAAGAATGCGATCAAGAGCGTGCTTGGCCTCACAGGCGACAATGCTCGCTGCGACTCTCTCCTTTCGTCCTTGCACTGTGAGCTCAGCTTCAACGACGCGCGTGATGCGTGCCGGCGTGCCAAGAAGAGCGAGCGCAGCCTCCCGGCCAACCTGCACAGTGTTCACCTGAAGTCCAGCATTTGCCGCAGCAGCGGCTGTCCCACATTGGAGCTCCAAGATCACCATTGGGAGCAGCGAATCCCAAAACGGAGCATTCAGAGCCAAGTGCACCAGGCATTGAGAGTCAGTGACCGTCAGCTGGGGATCTGCTGCGAGGGTTTGACCCGGCACAAATCCAACCGCCTCCTGTCGAAGCCACATGTGGTAACTGCCCGGCTTGGCTTGATGCGGGGCCTTGTGCGCGCCTACCACGATGCCGCGGGCACCGAGGAGGAGAAGATGGAGGCGGCCATCGACTGCTTTTCAAACTCCTGGATGTCCAAGTTGGTCAGTCCCAGATGCTTCCTCAAGGACAAGAACACCAGCCTTGGGCCACGCATGGTGCTGCGGGCTGGCCCGTTCACTGTGTTGACACTGGGGCTTGTGCCTGATGGCGATGCTTTTTTGCTAACCCATTATGAGGTGCAGGAGTTTGTGGTTACCTCTCTTGATCAGGTCGAGATCGCCACCTGTGACCCCGTCATGGTGGGGGACTGGCAAAGCCTTGCCTACCGTCAGCGCTCGGAGTTCCGCAGCCTTGTGCAGCACGTTGCCCACGAAACCATCACGAGCATCGGAAAGGGTGTTCTGTCTCAGCTTTGCTCCAAGCTGCAGTTGCCAGGACACAGATCTCTGACTCACAAACTTCGGTGTGAGCTTTTCCTCAAGGCGCAAGGCGTTTCAGAGGAAAAGATCACCCAGCTTCTTTCAGAGATCCCCGAGACACCTCCAAGGCCCCGAAAAAAGCCTGATCACGATGGTGAAGATTTCCACCCCGAGGCCATCCGATCAAAGGAAAAATAATATGTGCATAGTTTTGTTTCAAGTTCAACCGGTTTTTCAAATTGGCAATGCTGTGCATTCTTTTTTGGGGGACTTTTTGCGCCCTCATCACCCCTACTACCCAGGGAAACCCTGACCCCCAGGAAGACAACGCGGAACCTCCCCACGACCACCTCGAGGGTCAGTCCGAAGATGAGGAATTGGCGGAGACTCTCAAAAACATTTGCGTGGCGCCTGCGGCTGACAATGACGATGCAGACCAGGAGCAGGCCCAGGAGCAGGCTGGACCGGTAGCAGCCGAGCCCGCGCCAGCTGCGGAGCCAGCTCTGGATGCAGTGCCCGGCAGCAGCCAGGCGGGAGAAAGAAATTCAGAAACCGATTGGAGCATTCTGGGCACAAACGTCCTGTTCTTGGAATGGGTGGTGTTTGGGCTGATAAGCATTCTCTCCAAGCTGTTTCTGTTTTTTAAAAGGGGGGCTGTGTTTCATCAAATTATTATGGGCTTACACCAAGAAACCGTAGTGGAGCGAAGAGTGTTTAACAATCCCCTGTTACTCAGGTCATTCCCACTTTTATTGGGGCTTTGCCTAAACCCGTGGACCTTGTTCCTGAGCCATCGTTTCACCAAATTCAACCAACTGTACCTTGAACAGTTATGAAACAAGTGCTTCAACTGATTGTGACCCTAGTCGAAGCCACAGTGGTCCAGGTTCGAGCGGACGAGGGCGGCGCACACGCAAGTCATCAGGCTCGCGGACGACCCGAAGGTGAGTTCGCCCCTGGAATCCGAGCATATTATGGAAATCCGGCCAACGCAAGCCAGTTCATCCAAGCTTATTTGCCCACCGGATTTGTGTTTCAAGGGCGCAAGTCAAAGACTGCTGCCTATGCTTCGGAAGGGTGCCCCCGTGGGACACAAAGAACAAAAGCTGCAGCTGTTCTTGCAGTTCAGAGCTGGACCTGGCAGTGGTGGGCCAGCCTGACCCCGCTGCAACAAAGCAGCATTCAGGAATCTGAAAAGCCAGATCTGGAGGAGCGTAGCGCCAAGCGGGCCCGTGTTGACTGAAGAGTTCTACCACAGGAATTGTAGCAACAAACCAAGCATGCACGATGAAACGCAATGCATGTTGTGCACATTATGTTGCTTTTGCAGAGTGTCCTTCAAGTTTGGGTTGGGGGCCCGCAGGCATGATTTCGGGGACTGACAATGCCACCGGCATTGCGTTGACATTGATGTGGGGAGAAAAAAGTTGGGAGTCGGCAAAGGGAGGGGGCAGGAACAGTTTAGTTTCAACCATGCTTGTGTCCACTACTTCGGTCGCAAGATTTTTTGCATCCATTTTGGGGGATAATTGGGATAGCTCTTCAGAATGGGGGGGTGTGGCTTAGAATCATCTAGGTAGCCATTCACAGTCACTATCATTGTGGTTCGGGGGCTGTGGGGAAAGCACATGTCTGACTGTTGCTTTCTGTTGTCACACCATCATGTCATGCAACAAGTGCACCTGCAGAACACGCGTGGCTTTAAGGACTGGAATAGCTGGAAGATATCTTGTTTTGAAGTTTAGAAGAAGGCAGCAAAAGGACAGTGCTTTTCAGACAAGCACATAATACACAAATTGCTCTTTCAGGGCAAGCCTTCAAGCCTCACAATCCAGGCATGCCGATTCAAATGTTGATGCCATATGGAGACGTGATGCCTGAATTTTGTCTAAACTTGCCTTGTTGTTGCGATTCGTCTGGCTGCTGCTTGGTCAATTGGAAAACAGCTTTCCAGAATGCATGATGTCTGTCCCCCAAACAGTTAGCCGCCTACACCCCTGCAGAGTATCATGAACCCCCCAAATCATTCAAGTGGAGGAATCCCCTTTCAGACAATCCCCCACACACCCCTTTGGGATGCTGATTTGCAGGGCTGCAAAACGAATCCATTCCGGTGTGAGCCAACCGTCCCAAACGCTCCAGAGGTCCCCCGCGGAGCTCTCGGAGCTTGGGTCACCACTCAGCACGCAAACCTCTGGTTGCTTCACACTCCCCACTTAGAACTCCCTCATTTGGTGCCACTTTGGTAGATTGATTCTGTAGGGGCTTCCAGGACCGGGCAAAATGTGTGAATTACCAACGCCTCCGTTCAAAGGGACACCAACAGAAGCTTGATTGAACAATAGTGGTTCAGGCAAGCTTCAACATGGGGTTGGCCTACCCTGCCAACCTGTGAATCTGCTCGTTCCAGTTACACGTCAATTGGACATACCGACCAGCCAAATGTTGACAGTGCCAGAATCACAAGGCTTGATACGTTTCAGATCCATGTGCTGTTACAGGATCCAATGCGATTTCTTTCAGATATGGGAGAGGTCGTTCGGGGGTCAACAGTAGAACTATGGGGCTCTTTGGAGATAGCCGAGACATCAATGACTTAGAGTTGGTATCACCCACGAAAGCAAGCAGGTGGCCATGATTGCCATCCTGATAAGTTGGGCATATGTTCCCCCCTTTTCACCATGTGTTGTGACCCAATTGAGTTTGGGTGAGCTGCAAATGTCGCTACATTGGTCCGGCCTTCCATGGCGTTACGTTGCATGCTGTAAGGCTTCAAAGCTTCTCCGCTGGCAATATATTGTTCAATTTCGCTTATCGACGTATCGAGCTCAAGTCTCCCCTCATGGCTGAGCGCGAGTTTGTTCTGACAGCCCTACCATGCATCTCAACCAACCACAAACTACATCATGGAGAAATGCAAAGCCGGCTTTCCCTGAGAACTTGCAATATGACAAGGCTTCAGCTGGATCTGGTTTCAGCACGCAATCATCCCTTGCCAACATGCCCCAAACGATGTCTGAGGTGTAGCTTGCAACTCTCTGGCCCAAACGAGCTATGCATAAGCCAAGGCACCCAGAAACCACGGCTCCCAACACGGGAAAATCCTTGCGGTCACTTGATGCCACATGGAACAACGCGTCAAGTCGCGGAATGCAGCGGTGGATGAAGTCTGCACTTTGGATGTAGGAGTTTGCAGCCAGGGTGGGGCCAGTGGTTTAGATGTCCATGTGGTCCATGTGCAGGTGACCCATCTTGAGAACGCTTTCTAAAAAGGATGTGTAAAGACATGACCTCCCCACCCTGTTTGGGATGGGTCAACCTTACGGTCACCTTGTTGCGGGACTTCCAGCCAAGATCTTGCAACCACTTTGCACGGAACGCTGAGATCCCGAGCGAAGTGCTGTGGAAGAAGCGCCATTGACCTACAAAAAACAGCTTCGACTTGGGGGGTGGACCATGAAACCCCTGGCACACACTCCCATGATAGTCTTTTCGGACTCATTCTTTAAAAAATCACTTGAGAGGACCCCTTCTTCAAATGTTCAAGAGCTGGCTCACTGACTGATTGACTGACTAGCTAGCTGGTTGGCTGGCTTAGTGGCTGACTGGCTGGCTTGCTGACTGAACTGACAGCACACGGGTCACCAATTTGACTGGCAATGTTTGCAGTCATGCCACCCTCCCAGCACTTCCAAAGAGGCCAGATTATGAAACCCATGTTTTTTGTTTTTGACTTCAGCAGCCTCTTCCATAAGACATCGACTATATTGTGATGAAATTGCGTCATTAATAAAACCATTTCCTAGAGATTTAGCACCAATAGAGAAAATAAGTGTATTAGCAAAA